ACCGCCTGCCTGGGGGACAGACAACAGAAAAGTGGGTGAAGGGAGATATTGAACAGTGTAAAAAATGACAAAATAATTTATGAATTATCAAGGGTTTGTGAGGGAGCGGGGATGGGGAGGGAGGGGAAAATAAGGAACTGATAACAAGGGCTCAAGTAGAAAGAAAATGTTTTGAAAACAATGATGGCAACAAATGTACAAATGTGCTTGACACAATGGATGGATGGATGGATTGTGATAGGAGTTGTCCGAGCCACCAATAAAATCACTTTAAAAAGAAGAAGAAAGGGCAGTCTGTAAATATATGGTCAGACAGTAGAAAACAAGGGTGGCACAGCAGCACCCCAGTCCTGGTCATAGTGGGGAAGTGGAAACGACACTGAGGCCTAAAAAAGGAACATTTGTGTGAACTAGTGGATCTTAGCCCAGGGGTTGCCTGACAGGATCAGCCGTCTCTGATAAAGACACATAGCCACTATTGTGTCCTGGCAGAAGAAAATAATCCCAACCTCATTCTCTTTCCCAACCTCTTTCATCTTCTGCCAGTGTTTACCATTCGCCAAACTCAATCAGCAAAGGACCAGAGGTCACGCTTCGCGAGGGCCAAGAGACAAGCAAGGGTAGGAGTGGAGAATACCTGACACTCATCTCTGTCTCAAAGGTGTATGGGGAGAGAGACGACAGTAAGCATCACACACAACAATTATTAAACTCCATCTCTACTGAGTCCTGCGAAGGAGAACCACATGGTGCTGGGGAAGAGTATAATAATGAGAGCGTGTGATTTATCACACCTTATGTGATTGACCATGTTCTAAGCACTTTGCATGTGTTAGTTCATTGTGAGTAATAGTATGGCCCCAGCCACTGAGCTGCCGCTGAGGACTCAGCAGCCTTTCCCCTCAAGCCCCCTCGCTTCCTGATTCTCCATGCCCGTTGCCCACCTTCTCCTGCTGACCGTTTCCACGGAGGAAAAGGAATCGTGTCGTATGTCCGCTATCCAGAACCTCCACTCTTTTGACTCCATTACTGATGCAAATAAGGGTGAGACCTGCTTCCTTCGGGGACTGAGGATTATATCCCTCTAAGAATTCCAGAGAAATGGCAGGAAGACTCTTACTGCTGTCCAAGGGATCGACGATGATTACGATAGAAAGAAACTAGTGAAGGCGTTTAAGAAGTAATGTGCCTGCAATGATACTGTGAGTGCGCATCCAGAGTACTGAGACGTGATTAAGCTACCAGGTGACCAGCACAAGAACATATGCCAGTTCCTTATAGAGATTAGACTGGCTAAAAATGACCATCTTAAGGTTCGTGGGTTTTAAGTGCTTGTGGCTCACGGAAGTTTAACTGAGGATTTCCTTGTAATGAGTAGAAAAATGCCTCATGGAAGCTTAACTGAGGATTTCCTTGTAATGAGTAGAAAAATGCCTCACGGAAGCATCCGTGTGGATTTCCTTGTAATGAGTAGAAAAATGCCTCACGGAAGCTTCCGTGTGGATTTCCTTATAATGAGTAGAAAAATGCCCTCTGTCCCTTGTCAGGAATTTAAAACCTCGTAACTTGTATGATGTAAACATTTGGGAGTCCACTTGGGTGTGACAGTTGCATAATCTGTCAGCTTGAGTGAAGGGGTGGTATCTAGCCTGTCAATCAGGTCACAGCCTGATTGATCCTTCCTTGTAGGCATGGCTTCATGAGGATTCTGGGAGCTCCTGTCTTCCTAGAGGTGGGACACACTTGCTCTCTGCTTCATCTTCCTGCTGAACAGCCACACAGAGAGCCATATGCCAGAGCTGAGATGCTTCCACAAGACTTCCCACCCACTGGCCTCTGCATTCAGTGCCATTTCATGTGTTGCTTAGTCTGAAGAGGAATTTATAGACTGGTATCAGATATATTGGCTAATATCAGACTTAAGGACTTGATCTGGACTGGGCTAGGATTTTTCTTCATATACAGTTATTCTTTTATATAAAGCTCTCTCTTATACACATATGAGTGTCTCTGGATTTGTTTCTCTAGTCAATCCGGGCTAACACATTGGGCTAGTATAACTCCTTCAAGCAATAAGCTGAAAAGAGCCAAAAATAGTAATAATCTCACAAAATCATGAAGTGAATATTATCACCCATATTTATAAATGAGAAAACTGTGGTATAGCCAGTTAACTCTCCCAATATCCTAAGAATGGATCCAGGATTTGAACTTAGGTAGTCTGTCTTATTCAAGCTACTCATGTATTAAAAGAGGTTTGACCAAGACTGTTCAGGAAAGATTTTCATCAGGAAGTGGCATTAAGCTTATATATATGGATGAGTAGAAATTAGTTGGGTCATGAGTGAAGAGGTTTGTAGTCCAATAGGGAATGGGAAGTAGAGCATCAGGTACCGTGTAATGACCTAATGTGTTTAATAGTAGGATAAACATATAATGCAGAAACAGAAAGGATATGAAGAGAGGCAAGGATATTCTATATACAATGAAATGGATAGTAGACATAGTCATGGGTACTTCTTAAACATAACCAAAATTCTCAAAGGATGAATTTTCTAGGTTGGAAGGATGGGTACTACTGTCCTGCGAGATACCTTCAGGGAGCATAAAGTTCTGCTCTATAGCCTTGTTTAGTGAGTAGTATCTGGAATCTTAAAGGCAAAAGAGACCCTCTGAGATTAAATTACTGGCCTCTACTCATCCAGAACAAATAAGAAAGAAGGAAACCAAAGCTTCAATGAAGAATCTAGTTTACAAGACAAATCTACATGAATAACTACTGCCTCATCACTCTGAAACTAGAACTAGAGGTGCCCAATGGCTACTACCAATAAAG